ATCTTCAGTATACTTTTTATCTCGGTGTTTCTCAACCTTGGCCACTTGAAGATGTCTGGACTTCAACTCCCAGAATCCCCCAGCCAGCATTCGCTGGCTGGGGAATTCTGAGAGTTGAAATCCCGACATCTTCAAGTGGCCAAGGTTGAGAAACACTGCAGTTTATCTGCTTCTCAAATTTTAATTCCCTGCATTCATTCTCTTATTATTTACGATTATGTTCAGCTTTATTTAAGGAACCGTTACACATGGCATTGCTTTAACAAGTGTGGCTGTGAAGATTTCATTCCCACCTCCCCATGTCAACTTGTGAGAAAATGCTATTCTAGGCATCGGGGTTCAAATTATTCTCCAAAGGCACCTCCTGCGCTGTATGAATTTACACATTGCTCCGAGTTTTTTTGTGTTTTGAGATGTGACACACATCCACCTCTGGCTTTTTCTTCTTTCCCCTCCTATTAAATATTTTTACCTTTTGATTAAAATTTCCTAATAGAAATTAATTAAGTAGCCTTTGCTAGCGGCCTAGAGACCCAATGAACAGGTGACTGAGCCGACCCGGAAGCTTGTTCCTTTCCCTGGGGACGGTCGCCTTCTGGACACACCTCGACTGCCCCCTGCCCACTCGCACTCTAGACCGGAGCCCATCAAACAATCCATCAGAATAGAGCTGGAAGGGACCCTGGAGGTCTCCTAGTCCAACCCCCTGCTCAAGCAGGAGATCCTAGAGCCATTCTGGACAAATGACCCTCCAGTCTCCTCTTAAAAGCCTCCAGAGATGGGGGCTTCTGAAGGGAAGGTGTTCCACTGGTTGATTCTTCAAATAAAATTTGAACACATTTTAACACAATTGTTCATCGTTAATCAAACTCTACTCCCGGGTGCCCTCCCTGCCCTGTAGGGAGTGGGCCACTCTGATCGGGGCACCATCAGCAGATACAAGGAGGGTGGAGAAAGAGGTTTCACTGCCCTTAAGAGCCGAGGTGGCGCAGTGGTTAAATGCAGCACTGCAGGCTACTGCTAGATCAGCAGTTCAGCGGTTCAAATCTCACCGGCTCAAGGTTGATTCAACCTTCCTTCCTTCCAAGGTGGGTGAAATGAGGACCCAGACTGTGAGGGCGATATGCTGACTCTGTAAACCGCTTAGAGAGGGCTGAAAGCTCTATGAAGCGGTATATAAGTCTAACTGCTATTGCTATTGCTATTAAGGCCACCAGGCAACTCCTAAAATGGGTAGCGGTCAGGCTCCCTCTGGTTCTCCCTCCAATGGGGCTCAGCTGCCTCTCTCTTCTGGCCCTCCCACCTCCTGAAGGCCCACCTGAGGATGGGCACAGAGGGAGAGGCCACGTAGGAGCAATGTGATCCATGGCTCATGGATCTGGGGAGAGTAACCGGACCCAACCATCCACTGGACCCTTCGGGGAAACTGCAAGCGCTCAGGAACCTCACTGGACCCCCCCCCCCACCAATCGCCTGGGGGGGCTTTGCCCTGAGAAGTCCTGTCTTCCTGTGCTCAGGGGGGATCACCCGATCAGGGCAATCAACCAGTGTCTTCCACCGCCAGTTCTCAACCGCCCAAAACGAAGTTCAGATCCAGCCAAGATCTGGCGGTGTGCTCTTTGTATCTTAAGCTCCTCCGCCAGATGCTTTTGGCTCTTGCCTTGGTATCAAATTTCTTTGGCGTCTTTTAAAGTAAGATTGATTTAAACACTCGGCATCTTCCTTAATTAAATGATCCAGCAGACAATTCTTAATCCATGCAACGGGCTTGAGAGTAAACTGTCCGCCAGACCAACCCCCCCCCCTCGCGTGCAGAATCTAAGCCAGTGCCTGCTCGGGGGTGGGTGGTGGGTGGGATGCATTAACCTTAAAACCGGCGTGGGGTTCAAACAGCAGCCACTGGCAGGAGTGGCCGAGTGGAAAGAAGAAACGGCCAGGACTTTTCAGCTCAGAATATTGAATAACCTTTATTGAAAATATAAAAGATCTACAAAGCCACTGATACTCAGCATGGAAGAGTTCATTAAACTGTACACATGTTTTTAAAAACATCAGAAGGGCAGAAAGTCAACGATGTTTTTCACAAAGTCTCTTTTCCATTCTCCCCATATATATATATTTTTTCCGGTAGGAAAGTTCTGTGCAAGAATTGCTTTTCATGAAACAAAGGTTCTAAAAGCCATGAGTAAATTCATTATATTCTAAGAGGAAACTAACATTACTAGCGATTTTCCCCGTTAAACGGTTATTGAAGCCTCTAGAAGAAAAAAGCACTGATTTGGAAATTGGAACCAAAACAATCAAAAGGAATTAGTCATTAATGCTGCTGTTATCAGCCACACACAATCCTTATATTGCTGTATCCCCTTCCCCGCGGGGACGTCAGAAACATACAAAGCGTTTAGCATAGGAGGAGTGCTAAATAATAGCAAAGTAACAGATTTTACTAATCTGAAATGCAGCTGTGGGAAACAACCTTACGGCTCTCCTCATGGACAAAGGAGGGAAGGCGACAAAAGGTCATTTCATCCACCTTATTCTTGAGGAGAAATCCGAGGTCCTCAAGAGTCACGAGCTGCCAGAACTGAATTCCTAATTTTCTGATTTGTAGCACCAAAGGGAAAGGAAGTATAACTGAACAAAGAGAGACCAACAAAATGAGAAGTTCGTCCATCCCAGCAGGATATACTTTAAGATTAAAAATCTTCAATGCTGAAAAGCACATAATTGTAGTTTTGGGTTTGAGTAGCCAAAGGCACTGATTTGATCCTGCATCCCACTGCCCCGGTTAAAGAGCAAGCTCTGCGCCAGAGTCCAGCGCCGGCCGGGCTCCCCTGGGGGAAGAGGGGGGTGTCCCTGGGTGCCTCTGAAGGGGACCCGCTCATTTCAACTGCTAGGGCTGAAGGATACCAATTTCTGGAGCAAAGCACGGGGAGTTTCTTGCAGCCCACTTCTCAAAGAGGCACAAGTATTACATATTTCACTAAGGAGGGGGGGGATTATGGGAATAGGTGGGTGCGTCCTTTTCCCATTTGTGGAAAGGTAAAGTAAGCGCAATATTTCATCTGAGGCAAAATGACACCATCAAGAATTCTGACAGGGAAGGAAGGAAGGAAGGAAGGAAGGAAGGAAGGAAGGAAGGAAGGAAGGAAGGAAGGAAGGAAAGGAAAGTTCACAAGGCACAATATGATAAACATGAAGAGTCCCTGAGACTCCGGTTGGGTTCAGTATCTCCTTTCTCTACTTAAGTAGTTCAGAAGAATTAGGAAAATACAATAAAGACTATTTGATAGGAAATATACCTATAGGAAATAAGCCAGGTGGCTATAAGAGTATATAGCTTTTTATCACTTTTTCTTTTTAAAAATGCAAAGATTGGTCCAGTTTTAATTATCAGCAAGCCAGACTAATTACTTCACTAAGCTTAAACTGTTTTCAATCACAACTCTGCGATATTGCTACAAGTGGAGCAACTACATTCTAAAAAGCTTGGACGAGTGCTAAATGAATGAGGCAATCTTAAGAGAGTATTTTGTTAATTTTGGAAACTGCCAGGAGAGCCTAGAAGTCACAGTTATCAATACTGAAATGTAAAGCTA